GAAAGAGTGGCCCTTATAAGTCACTGGTTCGACCTCTGGACTAACAAGCAACGTCAAGAATTCTTATTCACGATATTTTTACGATGCACTAAATCACAATTAAGGTAAATGTAGCCTAACGAGGTAATTATCATTCGTTCTTAAAGAAAACAAAATATAGTAAAATGTTTATATAACCTTTAAGGTTTTTTTCTTTTTCTCCTAGAAACAAACAAACAAACAAATAAAGCAATTGATATTTTAAGATTTATAAACAGACCCTTCTAGTGCTGCTTCCTCCTGAGCATGAAATGAAAAGTTGAGTGCTTTAATATCTTCATAGCACGGTGGGAGGTTTAGTTTTTACAAAAATTTGTAAATAGCTTCAGCCAGTAAATTTTTAACATTCTCTTCGTATATTAACTTCTCCTTGGAACTACCGGGCAGACAAGATACTTCAAGTAGATATCTGGTACATTGGTCACTGATTGCCAGTGGGTCCTTGTTCTTATTCTTAACCCTTCCCTCCTGTTATGTCTATTATTTTCTTTGAAATACTCCAGCAGAGACAGTGTGACATTTGAAGGTATTAGTTGAAATACCAGGGATAGCTAATGTTCTGATCAGGAATTAATACTCTAGGCGTAGTTAGCTAGCATTGTATTAGGAAGGTCATAGTCTCAGTTATGACCAGATACTTTGCTAAAGAGCATAGCAAATATCGGACATCCGTTATTATCAGAGCAACTAGTGGCTTGATCGTTTGGCAGATGAATGTTAGAAATGGACTTTCTTTGGTGAAACTAAAGATATTCAGCTGTGGGACAGACCAAAATATTCCAGAGAGCCCTCCAGCATGCCCGGACTTGAGTGAAGAATCCAGACAGGCTGATAGCAGGTGCCTGTAAGGATGGTTTCCCAGGCTTCATCCCCAAACAAGTGGCCTTGTCAGTCTGGAGATCTGGTAGAGACCAACGGTCAGGGCAATGCTAGAATCTTGTTTCAGGAATTTGTCCTGTTTTTTGTCCATTTTCAATTGAGTGAAACTTTTACCGAAAGGACAGAGAGCTGGGATTTCATCAAACTTACAGAAGAGATTATGTGTGGTGATTTGGGCTTATTTATTAAGGTTGGCTCAGTGAAAGTCAAGGTGTGGCATCATTTGGTTTTAGTGACTTTCACTATAACATGCTGGTGAGGCTAGGGGAAGAGGTTAACCTTTGAACTTTGGTAGCTACCAAAAAGTACTTAAGTGTTGTGCAAGACCAAATTGGCTTATTTTAGTTTGCAATACTGCCTCCCACTTTTTCTTGCACTTTTTCCTGCTCATCTCTTTTGATCATCCATTTCATTTTTTCTACCTCCTCACTCACCTTCTCTGTTGTCAGCTTTCTCCTGCATCTGTGGTCACATAGTGGATTATTAACCAACTGTCCCTGATGAAGTCACCAAGTCAATGGGGAGAGACGGACACGTTCCTGGCTGTGTTGAAAGAAGCTGCAAAGACAAGCCACAGAAAAGTAGATTCTTTAGTCAATGGTTGAAAAATAAGAAAGGGAACTTTTTACTGCAGTCATTAGCTAGGTTTCCTTTTACTCCAACTTTACAGCTTGCAAGATAAGAATTGCTTTGTGGTATAGTCTCCTGTATCAAGCAATTTTAGTTCTAACCACTAGAGGTCATTAGAGAGCTTGCGGTATATTTTGAGGCTTTTTAACATTAGGCCTGACATTTTGTCATTGTAAATTGCATTCTTTGTCTGGTACCTGAATTCTTCTTTCTATGTAACAAGGATATGGAACTAATCTGTTCAGTGAAATTACTTTGCTTTTTTCATTGCAGCTGTGTTTCTGCAAAGAGCTGTATGTACTTCATAGTTCCACAAAGCTGTTATTACATATTCTGGGCTGCTGATTTCAGGGGAAGTTGTTCTGGTCTCTAAATTTGGCATTCTGAACCCATCTGTAATTTGTAGCAGTGGTTTTTGTTGTTGGACACCAATCAGTTTACTCCCAAAGTCTAGATTAAGTCTTCCTTATACTATTTCCTCCCCATTACTTTCTGTCAGCCATTTCTCTCCTCACCAACGTCTACAGATACCATGTGCTGATATCTAATCTAATTTGAACTGGCTATTTAAATTAAATCTAAAAAACCCAACTTATTTTATTTTTAAAGGTTATGCAATCAACTTTCTTTTAAACATCTTTATTGGGATGTAATTCACAGATAATAAATTCATTCACTTAAAGGGTACAATTCAGTGGTTTTAGTAAATTCACAGAGTTGTGCATCACCATAATCTAAATTTAGAACATTTCATCACCCCAAAAGAAACTCCTCCTACCCATTAGCAGTCACACTCCATCTCTATCTCCCTGTACTGGGCAACCACTAATCTACTTTCTGTTTCTATCAAGTATGCCTTTTATGGACTTTTCACATAAATGGAATCATACAATATGTGTTCTTGTGTGACTGGCTACTTTCATGTATTATAATGTTCTCAAGGTTCATCCCTTTTTTTGGAAGCATGTATCAGCACTTCTGTCCTTTTTATAACCAAATAATATTCCATTGCATGGATATGTCATATTTTATTTATTCATTAAGTAATGGACATTTAGGTTGTTTTCACATTTTGGCTGTTTTGAATAATGCTGCTATGAACATCTGTGTACAAGTTTTTCTACATGGATGTCTTTATTTCATTTAGGTATATACCTAGGAACGGAATTGCTGGGTCAAATGGTGACAGGGCAATCAGCCTTTAATTTTGAATCATATTTATTCATACAGTCCCTGTTCTCTCTTAACTGTGAATAACTTGTGAATAAATGAGAGAATTTATCATTGTTTGAATGTCTGAAATCCTTATACATAGGTTAGGCTATATTTGAGCAAAATACCTTGTTTTCAAGGCAGAGAAGCCATTGTATTAGATGTTTTAGTTTATAATTTCTGAATAATATTGTTTTAATTCAGGCAGTTACAACTATAAAGCTTAGCCACGATATTGTAGTATTGGTCAGAAATATGTTGTCACATTTTCTTTAAAAGTTTCTTCTTAATCTCTGTGAGATATATTCAAGTATCTAAGATTTTTCTTTTCTGTCCTAAGAAATATTCCATATTGTTAAGGTTTAAGAAGATTTCTTAAATGGAGTTTTATGATATTTAAGACATTTTTCAAAAGTTCAGCTTCTTAAACCACCCCTCTGGCAAATTTTGCCTCTGACCTCAACTTACATGTTACCCCTCCTGAGAACCCTTCATTGCTCATCTTTCACCCCCAGCAATTTTTACGAACCTCTACCACGGCACTTCCCCCAGTGCATTATGCTTATATAGCCACATGTCTAATGGTTTCCAGTATTGTCGTCCTCGGGCCACTTGACCAGGCTGAGCTTTCCTGTGACTCCTTAAAGGAAACTGGACTGTTTGTGTCTGTCACACTTGGAGAAACCTGAGAAGTTTGCATCAGTCTCCTAGCCACACTGGTGGAACTGGTTTCAAACTGCCTCTGCTCAGTACCAGGTAACGCCCTACACAAAGGCCTTTCATTCAGGGCTGGAGCTGTTAAAACTTGTAGCTTTCCCTGGTGGGTGGGGCAACATTCACACAAATTCATTCCCAAGATATGGATGGATTATCTGTCCCCGTGTGTGTGTGAGTGTGTGTGTATGTGTATGTGTCTGTGTGTCTGTCTCCTGGAAATGGGATTAGAGGGCAGAAAAATGTACCGACCAACTCACAATTAAGAGAGCACACCCCCCAACTCCCACTTCGGTACACCCACCTCTCTTTCCAAGCAACCTAGTTGAGTTATGAACTGTGAAGAAATCTTTTTACAAATTTTTGAGAGACAACATACTGCTAGGTTAATTTTAAATATAGAACAGCTAGCTATATCACTGTGAGTTACTGAACATCCATTTGAAAGAATATTTCTGTGCAGAGGCAGTGGAGAGGAGAGTGGATATTCAGGGACACTCTGGGGTTCTAAATATCTAATACAGTCTTGAAATTTGAGTCACCCTGAGTCTTTCCGCCCCTTAGCCATATTCTGGACATGTTCCTATCCTTTCACATGGATCAGATGGTCACAGGCAATCGTATGATGTTGTTGGGTTCGTTTTTAGGGATGGATGAAATCCTTGAGTTTAAAAGGAAAGGAGAAAATGAAAACCCAAAGCTATTTTCTTGGGTGAGATGGGGACAGAGGGAGAGTGGATGTTGGGTAGGCCATTGCCCATACCAGGCAAACCCGTGAACTTGAAGTTCTCATTTCCCATTTTGTAAATGGTTCCACTGTCCCTGAGTAATGTTTAAGTTATCTTTGTAGCACTTAGCACCACGTGACATTGTCATATACAGTACTTTTTGGTTTGTTTACTTACAGTCTCTCGACTCCACTAGAATGGAGCCCCAACAGGGCAAGAACTTTTTCCGGTGACTCATTCTGTCCTTAGCACTTACAGCAATACCAGGTACATAGTAGCCACTCAATAAATGCTTATTGAGTGAAGGAAGGTGTTGAAAACACTCTTAATTACAACAATAACAAAAAGATAACCAGAAAAAATTTTTTATTTGATAGTTCTCAGGAGGAAAGAACTTTTCAAGATACTACAAGTTTTTGAATAGAGGAGATTACTAATACTTTGCTTCAATCAAGACTTTTCATAATGTAATTAATTCACGACCTCTGTAAAGCAATCCAGAAGGAATCATGCACAGTAATGTTGTCTGCCATGTCACACAACCCCAGTGGTGTCATCTGTGTGAACGGCACCCCTTGAAGTTCACTGCACAACTTCCCAAACGCAGCAGCCCGGATAACGCTATATGATAGTACTTCCGGGTATACTCAGTGTGTCCTTTTACCTTCTGCATAGGAAGAATCGAATTCACAGATAATTCATGGGAGAATGGAGACAATGTTTTAAGGGACTATTTGTCTGTATTCTGTATTTGAGAATGTCTTCAGATGCCCAAGAAGGTTACAGCAGAATAAGTGCAGAAGTGGCTGCCCATGAGACCTAAGTGGGCTAGCAAGTCTTAGAAGCAGAAGCAGAGTGCCCATAGTACACAACAGGCATTCAGTGAATCTTTGTCATCTTTC